GCTGCCTCGGGCTCCTGCTAACATGTCTTCCCTGCTGTAGTGGGCTGCGCCCTCAAACCGTGGAGCCAAAACAAGCCATGCCTTCCTTGAACTGTTCCCGTGGGGTATTTTGGAACAGTGCTGGAAAACATAACTAATGCAGAAAACTAGGGAAAAAAAAAGAGTCCTCGAAGAAACAAGGAGAGGATGCACAGCAGAGATGGGGAAGGAAAGCGGAGCAGCAGAACGCCAGGAGGTCAAAGGAAGGGGCTGCTTCCGAGAGGAAGGCGTGGAGAGTAAGCTCAGGAGGCAAAGTAGCGCACAAACATGAGGACCTGAGTTCGGGTCCCCATCACCCACGTAGGAATCCAGGCATGGTTCTAGCCCCAGGTTTGCTGAGGGGTAGGCAGAGGCAGGAGGGGGCTGAGGCAGGAGGATCCTGGAGGGCTCACTGTTTGAGCCAGTCTAGCTCAGATTCAGTAAGGGACCCTACCTCAAAAAATAAGAGAAGAATTGAGAAGGACACATGATGTCAACTTCCGGCCTCCACACATGCCTGTACAAGTGAACACACACACACACACACACACACACACACACACACACGCATGTGCGCACCAGCATGGACTTCCAGTGCAGTTCAGTGGTGGAATGTTAGCCTTAACATGCCCAAGGCTGTGAATACCACCCCCAGCTCCACAAAACAATAAAAAAAGAGACCGAAGTTGACAGCGCCCAAGGCTGTAGAGAGGCCAAGGGAGATGAGCCTATGGTGTGACTTTTGATAGTTAACCCCGAGGAAAGTACTTTGGTAAAATGTCACGGGTTGTTTCAGCCTATCAGGAAGTGGCCCTGGAAGTGAAGTGGACTGCCTGTCTCTCCAGATCCAAGCGTGTTTGTTTTGAAGTGTCCCCACCCCCACCCTCCACCCCCCACCCCCTTGTTCAGGGATGGGCTGGCTCCCCTGGCCCCATGACAAGGAAAAAGAACAGTGGAATAGAGTGAGACCCCATGCCCTTGAGGACAGCCCAAGGGAGAAATCCTGGTGAACAGAGGTTACTATTGTCTGTCACATGGTATAAAATGTCTGTGGAAAGGATGAGAGCCCAGAACCCATTGATGGAGAAACCTCAGTCAGGGACTCCCACTGACCGCCTCTCTCCCCAGGCCATTTCTGCTGGATGTTTGCAAGCCCTGTTTGTTGGATGGTGTGGCCTTTGTTTGCTCTCTCAGACTGCTCAGTAGTTTCTGTTTGTTGGATGCTGTAAGCGCCCGATTTGAGATTTGAGTATATTTTACCATCAATCTGATGCTTCTACTTATCTGCTTCTTGTTATATGTTCTGCTGTTTTTTAATTTAAAAATGTATTATTTATTGTGTGTGGGTCCGCATCCCATGGTGCACTCGAAGAGATCAGAGGACTTGAGTCTGTTCTCTCCTTCCACCCTTACGTGGGCTCCAAGGACGGAACTCAAACCGACAGGCTTGTGCAGCAAGCCCCTTCACTCACGGAGCCATCTCCCCAGCCCCTTGTTCTTTGACTTTTGCGTGCTGTGTGCTTCATAAACACTCATTTGAAACCAGAAATGTCTATTGTACATCATCCCCTGGACCACTTGCTGTAGCTCATCCTCTGTTCCAGTGGTTCTGAACCTTCCTAGACACTTTAATACAGTTCCTTGTGTTGTGGTGACTGTTAGTTATTATGCAGCGCTGTGTTATTCATTAAGCGGTGTTGTTTACCATTGGAGAAAAGCCACGAGGTAGGACAAAACCCACTGTAAGAGTTTATTAGGAGAAGGAACAGAGGGGAATGTGCTTTAGGCCTATGGAAGGTTGTGCATGGAGAGAGAGGAAGAAGAGGTGGGAGGAGTCTGTGACCCACTTTTTGTGGATTTCCCCCACACATGCGCATATGGGCTTATGTGGCTGTGCCGCACATATGCATAGATTACATAATCACACTGAGAGCAGATTATGTGATCACACTGCATGCAAATCACATGACCACGCAGTGCATGGATTATGTAGGACATAAGGCCCTGGAATGACTAAACATCTTGCCTGGCTAGTGGACAGCACATGTGCAGTCATGTAGCTGGGGGAGTGGCCAGGAATTCCAACAGTGACCTCCAACCATGAAATTATTTTCATTGCTACTTCATAACTGTGATTTTGCCACTGTTATGAATCACAGTGTTACTATCTTTGTTTTCTGATGGTCTTCGGTGACCCCTGTGAAAAGGCCGTTCAACTCTCAAAGGGGTTGTGACCCAAGGGTTGAGAACCACTGCTCTAGCTAATCCTCTGGAATGTACAGAACAGAGATCTGAGAGCACATGGTGAATGGTGTTGCTGTACTGACACTTTCCCATCTTATTAGCTAGAGTACCAGAATTTTTGCCCCTTTTACCTATATCCTATTTAACAATTCTTTGCATATATTTTCTCTAGGTTTGAGCCTAGAGATTGTATTTCGTTTGTTTTTAGAGCCTGAGTGAGCAGTAGTCTTTGACATCTATATGGAATGCAAAATAGCTGGGTGTGGTAGTGCATGCCTTTAGTCCCAGAGCTCTGGGAGGTAGTTCAAGGCCCGCCTGGTCTACATGGTAAATTCGAAATCAGTCAAGGTTATGTGGTGGGTCCCTATCTCAAAAATAAAAGAATGTAAACCAGGTGCTTCATATCTGTATCCTATAGCTTGGAGCTGAGTGCTGAAATAGGAGGGTTATTGAGAGTTTGAGGACAGCTGGGTAGCCTGGGCTACAGAATAAGACCCTGTCACAAAAACAACAAAAAAGTACAACTTGTATTTGTTAACTTTTTTTATTTTTATTTATTTATTTATTATTTATTTTTTTAATGCCAAATGCCGTTTATTGAAGGAGGGAGGAGGTCTTAAATACAGGCTTACAGCACAATGGGAGAACCCCGGAGGGCAGAAGTTCGCTACCGATGTTTTACAATCTTGCATCTAAGCTGTTAACGTCCATTGTGCAGGATACACAGACAAGAAACTTCCCTTAAGCATTCAGGAGGGTGGAACACAGCAGGGAATTAGCATAGGGAGGATATCAAGGTCAAGGTCAGCAAGCAAGGCAACAGTTACCCAAAACGGGGGCCAGGGCCCTACAGGTCCCCCTTTTACTAAAAAATGAGCTTCTGATTTAGGTTTCATGGGATGTCAGCAGGTCACCTTACCCGTCATGGAGACGCCTGCCCAGGCCACACAGGCGCTCTGTCTTAGGTTGGTGAGTGCCCCCCCCCCCAGGCATTACCCATCTCTGAATTTTTCAAAACAGAGTTTCTCTGTATAACAGTCCTAACTGTCCTGAAACTCACTTTGGTAGACCAGGCTGGCCTCAAACTCACAGAGATCCTCCTGCCTCTGCCTCCAAAGTGCTGGGATTAAAGGTGTGCGCCACCACCGCCCAGCCATGTATTTGTTAATTTAATGAAATGTCTAGGTAGGGGTCTTCCTAAAAAAAAAATGTTTTATATTTATTTAATGAGTGGGGTATGTGTGAGTGTGTGTGTGCATGCACATACTCAAGTGCCCACAGAGCATCCACACATTCATACACGAGGTGGAAGTCAGAATAACTTGTGGGATTTGGTTCTCTCCCTCTACCATGTGAGTTCGGGGGGATCAAACTCAGGCCATCAGGCTTAGCAGCAAGTGCCTTTACCTGTAAACCATCACACCAGGGCTGGAGGGGTTGTCATGGCAATTAAGAACACTTGTTGCACCAGGTGGTGGTGTTGGTGCACACTTTTGACCCCAGCACTCAGGAGGCAGAGGCAGGCGGATCTCTGTGAGTTCGAGGCCAGCCTGGTCTACAGAGGGAGATCCAGGACAGGCTCCAAAGCTACACAAAAGAAACCCTGTCTCGAAAAGAAACCAAAACAACAACAACAACAATAAAAAGAACACTTGTTACTCTTGCAGAGGATCTGGGTTCAGTTCCCAGTACCTATGTGGCATCTTACAACCCTTCATAATTCCAGTTCCAACACCCTCCTCTGACTTCCCTTGCAGGTGGTACACATACACACACGCAGGCAAAACAGTTACACACAAAATAAAATAATTTTTCTTTTTTTTTTTGTGATGGCGGTTCTCTGTGTAGCTCTGGCTGTCCTGGAACTCACTCTGTAGACCAGGCTGGCCTCAAACTCACAGAGATCTGCCTCCCTCTGCCTCCTGAGTACTGGGATTAAAAATGTGCACCACTACGATCCTGCAAAATAAAATAATTTAAAAAATTAAACCATCTTGCCAGCTCCTAAAGGTCCTTTTTTGGAACAGGGTTGGTTTCAAACTCACAGTGGTTCTGCTTCTGCTTCTTGAGTGTTGGGATTACAGATGTGTGAAATCATAGCCAGTAGCACCAGACTATTGAGAACCTTAACCCAGGGAACAATTTGTAATCCTCATAATGTGAGATCCATAACTGAAAGATCGTATCATTACCATGGCCCATTTCATTTTATCTAAATGTTTTCTTAACTGAGTTAGTTTTACATTTCAATGTGAATTGGTATGCAGTACTATTGTTAAAGTGAGTGTTGAATTTCCCCAAAGCTTTTTTTCCCTTCAGTAAGGGGGAAACTGGAGTAGACATTATTACAGTACTAACACCTTGCTTGTCATTTCAAAAACATCTTTTAAACGTTTACATTTTTTTCTTTTATGTGTATGGATGTTTTGTGTGCATGTATGTCTGTGCACCATGTACATGCTTGATGCCTACAGGGGCCAGGAGAGGGTGTCTAATCCCTTGGGGCTGGAGTTATGGTCATTTGTGGGCTGCTGTGTTGGCGCTGGGAATTGAACTCTGGTCCTCTGGAAGGGCATCCAGTATGCTTAACCCCTGAGCCATCTCTCCAGCCCCTTCACAAGAATCTTAAAACAGGAGTTGAGTGGAGTGATTGCTTAGAGCAGGGGTTCTTTACAGAAAAAGCAGGGGCATCCTAACTGACATTACTTACAATTCCCCTTTTCCTTTTCTGTTTCCAGATTCAGATTGTGAGGATCCAGGAGAAGACGAGGCCCAGCATCACAACTGGCTTAGACACTTGTTTAAAGTAGCTTCTGTCTCTCTGCCTTAGGTAATCAACCGATGCTTTGGGCTCCTTTGGTATCCAAAAAAGACTTGGAGATACGTGGCTCCAGCAGTCTGCCTTTCCCTGTGGCTACTGAAGAACCACTAGGCAAGGGCTTGTAGTTCAAGTGAACTGTCACTTCACTCTTGTTATGATTTGAATATGACATGTCCCCACAGGCTCAGCTGATGCACTGTTTTGGAAGATTTGGGAAATATTAGGAGGAAGGGCCTGATTAGAGGAAGTGGGTTGTGAGCGTGGGGGCTTCGAAGAGTGTCTTATTCCTGGGTTCTTCTTGTCTTTATTTTTCCTTTCTGTCTATCATGAGCTGAACATGCTTTACCACGTGCTCTCTGCCATGACGTTCAGCTTCCACACAGGCCAGAAGCAACAGAGCCAAGTGACAACGGTGAACTGAAACCCCGGAGACCGTGAGCCTAACCAGTCTTCCTCCTTATACTGTTAATCTCAGATCATCATCACAACAGCAAAGAACTGCCTGACATGTACTTCAGAGAGCACTCCCAAGTCAGCCACCCGCTCTGCCGGGGAAATGCTTTGCAGAACTGTTTCAAGTGATTGTATTTTACTTTTCAAAAACTATTATATTTTACCATGCTTTATTATTATGTTTTTCTACTTTTATGGTTATACTTTATTATTTTTACTACTATATCTACTGTAAAAGAATCATAAAACTTAACCGCATACTGCAGTTATTCATTTACAAATAATGAATGTGTGGCACACACCTTTAATCCCAGCACCTGGGAGGCAGAGACAGGCAGATCTCTGTGAGTTCGAGGCCAGTCTGGTCTACAGAGTGAGTTCCAGGACAGCTAGGGCTACACAGAAAAACCCTATCTTGAAAGACAAAAACAAAACAAAACAAATAAATGAACGAATAAATGAATGCTCAGAAGAATGACTAAAATCATCCTTTGGTTCCTTTATCTGGTCTGGAATGATAACTCAGTAGGTTAATAGCACTCTCACCCACGCCTGAAGGCCTGAGTTCAAGCCTTGCAACCCTCGTGGTGGAAAGAGAACTGACTCCAAGTTGTCCTCTGACCTTCAGGGGACTGGGGTTCAGTTCCCAGCACCTACACTAGGTGGCTCACAAACACCTGTAACCCCAGTTCCAGGGATCCAACATCCTCTGACCTCCATGGGCCACCTGAACGCATGTGATGCCTGTAAACTCATGCAGGCACACAGAGACACAAATAAAAATAATAAATAAAAGCTTAAAAAGAACAGATAAATCATTTTTATTTTTTATTTTTTTGGAGACAGAGTCTCTATGTAGTCCCAGCTGGGCTGGAACTCAAAATGTAGAGCAGGATGGCCTGGAACTCACAGAAATCCGCCTGCCTCAGCCTCCAGAGTGTACCAACACTGCCTAGTTTGAGACTTGTTTTTCTTCTGTTAATCTGTTTTAATAGCAACTTAACTTATGCAAAGAGCCTAGCAGGCAAAGGGAAGCATTCTCCCAGCCAAGCACTGGCATGAGCATACAACTTTTAGTTGATTTTATCATTCCATCAGTTTGAACAAAAAAACCCATTAAACTATAATTAAGATCTTTAGATAAAATAGGAAGAGATGTTGGGAGAGGGCAGAGGGTGTATCTACAGAAGGCGCATAGAATAAAATCAGTCATTGTCTTAGGGTTTGTTTTTGGATTTTTCTTGTTTGTTTGGTTTGGAATTTTCAAGTAGTCCTGGCTGTCCTGGAACTCACTCTGTAGACCAGACTGGCCTTGAACTCACAGAGATCTGACTACCTCTGCCTCCTGAGTGCTGGGATTAAAGGCTTGCGCCGCCACCACCCAGCGTCTTATAGAGTTCCCCTTGCTATGATAAAACACCATATCCATAATCTATTTGGAAAAGAAAGAGTTTGTTTCATCTTACAGTTTATAGTCCATCATTCAAAGGAGTCAGGGCAGGAACTTGGAGGTGAGAACTGAAGCAGAAGCCATGGAGGAGTGTTGCTTACTTGTTTACGCCTCTTGGCTCGCTCAGCCTGCCTTCTTACAACACCCAAGGCCACCAGCTCAGGAATGGCACTACCCAGGGCCCACATCAATCGTCAACCAAGTAAATGCCCTACAGACTTGCCCACGGGCTAATCCTAGGGCGTCATTTTCTTGATTTAAGAGTACTTCTTCCCAGGTGATCCTAGCTCGTCTCAAGCAGACATAGAGCTAGCCAGCACAGGGATGAAACAAACGGAAAGAGCTGTCGAGGAGAATGTCTAAAACATAACCTGCACTAAAGTCCTTGACAACGGTTTGAGGTTACTCTCGGGAGGAACTCTCACTTAAACCTCTGTGTTCAGAAACAGGATTGCAAGGAAGCCAACTCCTGAACACTATGGAAGAACAGACACAAACAGACACATAGCAAAAGTGGACAAGTGCGTGAATACAGATGTAAGTGGGGTTTTGTTGTTGTTGTTGTTGTTGTTGTTTTTCCTATGTGTGGTGGAGGCTCCTGTGTTGAGTAGGTTACTAAGAATTTTCATTCTGCCTTTCAGCTGCTTGCTGTCAAAACAGACAAGTTCATGAAACCTGGGAAAGTGGTGCTGGTCCTGGCTGGACGCTACACTGGATGCAAAGCCGTCATCGTGAAGAACACTGATGATGGCATCTCACACCCTTACAGCCATGCCCTGGTGTAATGGACCACTATTACAGTGGCTGAAATGGACCACTATTCCTGAAAAGTGACAGCTGCCATGGGCAAGAAGAAAATCGCCAAGATATCAAAGATCAAGTCCTTTGTGAAAGTGGATAACTACAACCGTCTCATGCCACAATGTGATCCTCTGGGGATAGCCCCTTGGACCAAACTGTTGTCAACAAGGCTGTCTTTAGAGACCCAGCTCTGAAACGCAAGGAGCAGGTCAAGCTTGAGGAATGATACAGGGAAGAACAAGCGGTTTTTTCAGAAGCTTCACTTACAGGTGTATTTTTTGTTCCCATCGTTAAAATTTATTTAAAAAAGAGAATTTCCCTTCTAAGGCATTCTAACCAAGAAGAAGCTCTTGGTTAGTAGCTCCTTAGATGACTGCAGACTCCTGATGGCATATCATCCTGTATTGTTCTCTGACTTTTGTGGTCCCTGTATGTCCCAAGTCAGTGATCTGTTGCTGTGAAGAGACACCATGACCATTGCAACTCTTATAAAAGAAAGCATTTAACTGGGGCTGGCTTACAGTTTCAGAGGTTTAGTCCATTGTCGTCATGATGGGGAGCATGGCAGCGTGCAGGCAGACGTGGTGCTGGAGAAGGAGCTGAGAATCCTACATCTGGATCCACAGGCAACAGAAGGAAAAGAGAGACTCTGGGCCTAACTAGGACTTTTGAAACCTCAAAGCCCACCCTTAGTGACACACCTCCTCCAACAAGGCCACACCCCCCTAATCCTTCTCCAAAAGAGCCACTCCCTGATGAGTAAGCATTCACTTATATGAGCCTATGGGGGCCATTCCCCATGGTGTACAGTGCTCACATACCAGGTAGGTATGTACATGAGTGTTGGTTTATTTGCAGCACTCTTACCCTGCGAGGAAGGGTCATGACCCGGATGTTTTGCCTGCATGAGTGTCTGTGCACCGTGTGTGTGTAGTACTTGTGGAGACCAGAAGAGGGTGTTGGTCTCCTGGGACTAGAGTTACAGTTTTGAGCTACCATGTGTATGGGTCCTGGGATTTGAACCTGGATCCTGTGGAAGAACAACCAGTGCTCTTAACCCCTAAGCCATCTCTCCAGCCCCCTGGCCTTTTTTTTTTTTTTTTTTTTTTTTAAAACCACATCCTTGAGTCTGATTAGTGCTGCCTCTGTACATGGGTATAGAGCATGGACAATCTCCCAGGGACCACATTCTTAAAGAAAACTGACTGCTCTCCCCTAGCAACCATCAACTCAATACCTCTTCAGCTAGAGGTGGGGCCCCATGTGCCCCTCTGTCACTCATGCTGGAAAGTTCACTGGCTTGATCGATCGTGTGCAGGCAAACACAGCTGCCGTAAATTCAACGAGTGTAATAATCCTGTCAAGTCCAGAAGACACTCTTTCACACCAGGCCTCCCCAGCCTTTAGTTCTTACAATCTTCCTGCTTCCTCCTCTGCAATGCTTTCTGAGCTTTGGGGGAAGATATGTGATATAGATGTCCCATCTATGGCTGAGCACTCCACAAATACTCGATCTCTGCACTTTGACCAGTTGTCTCTGTATTAACCACTGTCCATTGCACAAAGATGCCTCTCGGATGGGGACTGAGAGCGGCACTAATCTATGGGTATGGAGATATGTAGGTAGAGTGTAGTTTGATAACAAGTCTATTTATCAAAACAGTAGTAGCAGGCTCACCCTTAGAACCTTTGAGCTTCCCAGCCTTAGGCTCTTGGACAGATTTACAGAACCAGGCACGAGTTTCCTCGTTCAGGCCTTAAGACCAACCAGAGAGCAGTGGGTTACCTCCATCCTATTCATGCCACTGTTGTGCCAGTGGGCACATCTCTCACGTGATTGCAATTGTAGCTTGCAGGATTCATAGCTGGGTAAGACTGTTGGAGACTTTTCTCCCCCAGCAGCCTACACAGCATCTTCCAGTACTGGGAAGATAGCCAGGAAGGAGGAAGCTCCCAGCTTGATTTTTTTCTAAGGCCTATATTTTTGAGTAACATAAAAAATTATTTAATCCCAGCACTCGGGAGGCAGAGCCAGGCGGATCTCTGTGAGTTCGAGGCCAGCCTGGACTACCAAGTGAGTTCCAGGAAAGGCGCAAAGCTACACAGAGAGACCCTGTCTCGAAAAACCAAAAAAAAAAAAAAAAAAAAAAATTATATTATAGCTGGGCGGTGGTGGTGCACGCCTTTAATCGCAGCACTCGGGAGGCGGAGCCAGGTGGATCTCTGTGAGTTTGAGGCCAGCCTGGGCTACAGAGTGAGATCCAGGACAGGCTCCAAAGCTACACAGACAAACCCTGTCTCAAAAAACAAACAAAAAAATTATATTTCTTTATTTTTGAGTGTGTACATGCCATGTATAGCACATGTATGGAAGTCAGAGAACAACTTGCATGAATCAGTTCTTTTCTCCCATCTCGTGGTTCCAGGGATTAAACTCAGGTTTAAAAGCAAGTGGGCAACCAACTCAAAAAAGTCCATTATCTATCTATCTATCTATCATCTATCTATCTATCTATCTATCTATCTATCTATCTATCTATCTATCTGTCTGTCTGTCTGTTTTTCGAGACAGAATTTCCCTGTGTAGACCTGGATGTCCTGGAATTTGATCTACAGACCAGGCTGGCATCAAACCCAGAGATCTGCCTTCCTTCTGCCTCTGTGCGGGGATTAAAGGCATGAGCCACCACACCTGGCTGAAAGACTATTTTTTGTGGACAGTTGTGCAGAAGTATAATTAGAGGACACAGGGAGGTGATCTTTTTTATGATTTATTTATTTTTATTTCATGCCCATTGGTTTTACCTGTATGAGGGTGTTGGATCCCTTGGAACTGGAGTTACAGATAGGTGTGAACTATCATGTGGGTGCTGGGACTTGAGCCTGGGTCTTTTGGAAGAGTAGTCAGTACTCTTTTTTTGTCTTTTTTTTTTTTTCAGAGCTGAGGACCGAACCCAGGGCCTTGTGCTTGCTAGGCAAGCGCTCTACCACTGAGCTAAATCCCCAATCCCAGTAGTCAGTACTCTTAACCATCTCTCCAGCCCACAGGGAGGTGATCTTTGATACCAAACTGGGCAACTAAAGGTCCACTTGTTCAGGTTCTTTTTGTATCTCTGTGTCTTCAGAGATAAGGTAGCTACTCAGGGATGAATGGCAGGTGACAGTGGCCTTTCTGCTACTGCTGTTTTCCATTTCCAAGGGACCATATCTAGAGGTAATGTTTCCTACATCCCGTCACCTCTGTTACTTGTAATCTGCAAGTATGCTTGGCTGCTCAGCTCTTTCCTACCTCTGTCAACACTGAGCTTGTGGCCAGGAGCTGTATTGTTGTTGTTAGAGGTAGTGTGTGTGTGTGTGTGTGATTAATCAAGCTTATTGGCAGTTCTTATGATGTGGTCACAGAGGGAGGTAGGAAAGCTTTCCAGGCTCACAACACCTGAAATACTGCTGTGTATAATCAGAAGCATCGTTTTTTCCTCGAGGGGTCTCCTAGCAACGGAGGCCTCACACTGATGTTGTCAGACCCTCCCGGCCCATCGCCGCAGCACGGAAACGCATCCAAGAAAGAGAGAACAGTGGCAGCTGAGGTGGGGGCTGTCCTTCAGAGAGAGCTGCCCTTCCCACTTAGGGTCCCATGAGACAAAGGAAGGAGCCACTGCAGGCAGGGTGCCTGGATAGAACGTTAATGATTAATTTATGGCCCTCTAGCCAACATTTTATATTTCCCATCAAGCAGGAGGTTTATGTTTTACTGCTCTAGAGAAGGGTTGTGAAAGGAAAAGCGTCTTTTTGGTTCTTAAAGTCCTGGGAGGCTCTAGAACAGGAACAGAAAGAGAAGGACTCAAGGGGTTAAAATGGAATGGGTCCAGTCTTGGTTTTCCGGGCAGGGCCCCACGATCGATCGTAGCGACCAAGCGAAACAAGGGAACAAAGATGTCACCCGATCTGAAGGCGCTTCCGAGGCAGAGACAGTGCTGAGCTCCGTAATGGCATCAGTGACAGGAGGATCTCCGACTTGGACTTGGTCAGATCATGAAATCTCGGCCTGATTCCAAGGTGGGAAACACCAAGAATGGCTGATCTAAGTACTCCACCCGCCTGGCCGAGTGGGGCTCAGGGGCAGAAGCCCTTGGTATGGAGCACAGGCCTGACTGTGGACTGAGACTCCTCTTCCCCGAGGTTCGGAGAACTGCTGTTTTCATCTAGCTTCACTGGAACTGTATGTCCCAAAACACATCCATCACCTGCCACACACACACACACACACGCACGCACGCACGCACGCACGCACGCACGCACGCACGCACGCACGCACGCACAAGGAGTGAGGCTTGCCAGCTGGCCAGTGGTGGCGCACACCTTTAATCCCAACACATGGGGAGGCAGGCAGATCTCTGTGAGTTCGAGGCCATCCTGGGCTACAGAGTGAGATCCAGGACAGGCTCCAAAGCTACACAGAGAGAAACCCTGTCTCGAAAAACAAAAAAACAAAAAACAAACAAAAAAACAGCGAGACTCGCCTACAAGGAAAGTACTGAGTGATATTGAGAGGCAGAAACTGAGGCAGCAGCCGGGATGCTCTGCGGGCCTCGCATTTGTTTCGGGGGTGGGGGGGTGGGGGGGGTGGGGGTGGGCACGCCCGCTACCCCATCTTGCCTTTGGTGTGACCAGCTACTGGGCCTGCATTCCTCAGTCTCCCTCTGAGGTTTCCCAGGGTCCTTCCTAAACAAAGACCTTGCCCTCAAATCTTTATTTCACAAGTCTGGGGCGGGGGCGGGGGCGGGGGCGGGGGGATGGGGGAATGGGGCAGGGGGTGCTCCCATCATGCAGCTGCGGGCCTCAGAGCTAAAAGCAGGCAGGCATCTGGTGGTGTTTGTTAGGAAGTCCCTGAGGGGGGTCTCCCGGATTCTAAATTTCCAGTTTTGCTCTTCTGGTGGTGGGGATGGGTCCCAGGTCCTCACACATTTGAGGCAAGTGCTTTACCACTGAGCCACACCCCCACCCCATCAGTAACACTGCATCCCGTACAGTCATCCGAGCAGAGCAAATGTTTACGTATCAGATGCTGCTGATGAAGATAAAGAGGGGCTCATGAATGTGACCCAAATACATCTGAGCCCCCATTTCCTTCCTTAAGACCTACAGTGCTGTATCGGGGTCAAAAGCAGCACAGACCTGTCTCCAGCTGTCTCACAAGCAACAGTACCTTTCCTCAGTATCTGAGTCAACTGGGAAAGAAGTCACAGAAAGTTCTCTAGCCCCAGAGTTTCACCCATAAAGCATTTGCTTAAATCCGTCTTCAGGTCTTCAAAGTCTCCAGTCCCTGCGGGCTCGAGTTACTCCACTGTTCCCACTCACCCCCTGCTCTGGCTCACTCACAGTGGCGTCTCACAAACCAGGAGTTTCCTCAAGAAGTTGGGGAGGGAACTGGCTTGGGAATGGGGGAGACTGACTAATTCATTTCAAAAGCTTTTGTCTCTGTCACATGTGGAAGTTAATTAAATAGACCACAAGTTTAGTATCTGCTTCCTCGCGGGAGTCAGGTGTCCTCTTGGAAAAACAGAGTCACACGTCCCTCCGCCACTCAGTTCCCTCCGCTGTGCCAGCAGCCAGGCCCACACGCAGGGAGGTATCTTAAGGAAGTCTGCTAAAGGCCTTCCAGCCCATTAGAACATCCTTTGTGCTGGTTTCTCAAGCAGGAGGCAGTGTGAGTGGCCCCAGCTTCTCTCTCTGTCCTGGCACGGGTATGATCACGGTGTGCTCATGCAGCACCCATTATCATTGTCTGGACTTAAGATCTAGTCTGGCAAAAACAGGTTTTCTCAGGTTGGCTGACCTCTAACCCCTTTCCCATTTTATTCTTTCTGGCATCAGCGCATGAAGTAAAAGTTTATGTGGTTGACAGAGTGCCAACGCTCCGTTTTCTCTGCTAATGGAGGAGAGTCGGAGGGAGGCACAAACAGGTGATGTGCACCAAACACTGCCA